GAGGGCTGAGCCTGGATCCTGGGTCTGAGGGTGGAGGGCTGAGTCTGGATCCTGGGTCTGAAGGTAGAGGGCTGAGCCTGGATCCTGGGTCTGAGGGTGGGGTCCCTGAGGTCATACCCTGAGCATGCGGGCAGCCACCGAGACGATCTGTGGGAAGTAGGCGATTTTGTGGCGAAATTTCTCCTGCATGTCACACAGGAACAAGATAGAGGATCCCGGGAGGACTCGGCCTAGGCTGGGCCTGGCAGCTGCCATTTTCTGGGGGTGGGCAGAGGGCAGTGGGTCAGGCCTGAGGGCTCCTCCCAGTATTTTCAGTTGGCATCCAGGGTCCTTGCGCTCAGAGTCTTGCAGGGCCCGGGGCACCGTGCCAACCTTCTTCCCATCCCTAGGGCTCTGCATCTGCTGTTCCCCCAGCCTGGGATGGGCTTCTTTCTTATTTCTGTTCTGTTCAGCAGGGAGGTGACTTCTTGGGAAGCCTTCTGGGCCACGTCCACATGTGGCTCTGGGTGTTCCCCTCCCGCCCCTGCCTTCTCTTAGGTGGGGACTGTGACCGTCGAGTGCTTCGTGATCCCAGTTACCATCAGCCCCAAAACGGAGACTCTGCTGGGCGTCCTCCTGCATCTCGCCAGCCCACTCCCCAGGTCGTCCTGAATGAAGGGTCCATCCTGATCCTCACCCTGCCCCAAGAGGAAACTGAGGCCATATTCTTCAGCCATAGAAAGGAAGGATGTCCTGGCACAGGCCACAGCATGGATAGAGTGACACAAAAGCCACAGAGTATGCAATCCCGTTTACCTGAGATGCCCAGAACAGGCAAATCTGCAGGCAGAAGGTAGATGGGGCAGAGTGCTGTGGCTCATGCCTATAATCCCAGCACTTTGGGAGGCCAAGGCAGAGAGATCACCTGAGCTCAGGACTTCAAGACCAGACTGGTCAACATGGTGAAACCCCATCTCTATTAAAAATACAAAAATTAGCCAGGTGTGGTACTCTGTGCCCGTAATCCCAGCTACTTGGGAGGCTGAAGCAGGAAAACAGCTTAAAATCCAGGACGCAGAGGTTGCAGTGAGCCAAGATCACACCACTGCACTGGTGACTGAGTGAGACTCTGTCTCAAAAAAAAAAAAAAAAAAAAAAGAAAAAGCAGAAAGCAGATGGGTAGCTGCTAGGGGCTGTGGCAGGGAGTTCAGGGTGACTGCTGAGGGGTGTAGCGTTTCCGTTTGGGATGGTGAAAAGGCTCAGGGGCTCGGTGGTGACGGCTGCACATCATGACCCTATGAATGCCACTCCACTGTGCATTTCCAAATGGCTGAAAGGGTATGTTTTATGTTAAGTGCATTTTACCACAATAAACAAAGAAAAAGAAAGAGAAAGGACAGGCCGCCGAAGCCCCCTGGCCAGCGACTCTTTTGCAGGGGAGGAAACCTCGACCCAGAGGGCCAGTTAACCTGCCCTAGGTCCTGCAGCCATGCAGGGCACACCTGACTTCCACTTGGTCAGAGCGTCTACATTGTCAGTGCGTCTACACCGCAGTGGCCCTGTATCAGCATGCCTCGGCCTGTGTCCCTGGGACGCTTGTGTTTCTGGGTCCCCAAGTTTGCTGCACAACTGGGCGTTCGGGCTGGGCTTTTGTCTGCAGCTCTCTCGCCGTCTGTGTGTACGACCTGTTTGTACTCATTCATTTATTCATTAATTCACCAGTGAAATGAAAGACCCTGTAGGCTCATCGGAAGCAAGACAGGAGGTGTTCCGGGAAGCTGAGGGAGGCAGGGTTCAACAAGGAGCTGCGCTTTCCAAAGCTGGGTAGTGAGGACACTGGTATGCATTTTCTTTCCTTCTCTCTCTCTTCCTGGCCTCAAGCAATGCTCCTGCCTTGGCCTCCCAAAGTGCTGTGTTATTTTTCTTTTTCTTTTTTTTGAGACAAGGTCTCATAGTATCACCTAGGTTGGAGTGCAGTGGTACATCATAGCTCACTGTGTCCTTCACCTCCTGAGCTCAAGTGATCATCCCACCTCAGCCTCCCAAGGAGCTACAGGTGCATGCCACCACACCTGGCTAATTTTTGTATTTAAAAATTTTTAGAAACAGGGTCTTACTATGTTGCCCACGCTGGCCTCAAATTCCTGGGCTCATGCGATCCTCCTACCTCAGCCTCCCAAAGTGCTGGGATTACAAGCATGAGCCACAGTGCTTGGCCTATTATTCTTTGAACAAAATCTATCATCTACCACAGCAAATGTTTTCTATGTGTACTGTATCTCAAATTTAAAAACGAATAAATGGCTAAAATGGTGAATTTTACGTTGTGCAAATTTTATCTCATTAAATAAAATGGAATGGAAACTCCCTCTGAAACAAAACCACACTGAATTAATCACATAATTACAACTGTGATAAGTGCTGGGATTTCAAGGAAGCCGGATCTAGCTTGGCAGGGGCTGCTATGTTCTCCCAGAGGAACCGAAGACAGAAAAATGATCTTTTCGAGGCCGGGCGCGGTGGTAATCCCAGCACTTTGGGAGCCCAAGGTGGGTGGATCACAAGGTCAGGAGTTTGAGACCAGCCTGGCCAACATGGTGAAACCCCCGTCTCTACTAAAAATACAAAAAAATTAGCCAGGCATGGTGGTAGGCTCCTGTAATCCCAGTTGCTCAGGAGGCTGAGGCAGGAGAATCGCTTGAATCTGGGAGGCAGAGGTTGCAGTGAGCTGAGATCGTGCCACTGCACTCCAGCCTGGGCGATAGATTGAGACTCTGTCTCAAAAAAAAAAAAAAAAAAAAAAGATCTTTTCAGAAAACACCAAGCTGACTATTACTAGACTATTACTACCCGGTCTCAAACTGATCCCTGACTCCCGTGGCTTCTCTCTGTCCTCAGGACTAAGATGCAGATGCCCCCTTTCTCCCCGAAGAGCTCTGAAGCCCCTCCAGCCTCAGCCCAGCCACATCCGCCTCTGCCTCTACAACAGCCCTGGCCGTTTCCTCCCCCTGGAGTGACCCTCTCACGCCCACTCATGTGCTAATTCTTCCTCCCCTGAGCAGCAGGCAGGACCTGGGACACCCAGGCCCCAAAGGATGGTTCTGAGGGAACCAGAAGCTGGAGAGCTGACAGATGGGTCACAAGGGCCCTGGAGTCTCTCTGCTGAGGGCAGTGGGGAGCCATGGAGGGGAAATCTGGGGGCCGGCATGTCCAAAAGCCTAGGACAGGCATCTCTAGCACCCAGGAGCTCCTCTCTGGCCTGGCAGGAGTATGGGTTGCAACAACTAGGGAGAGCGGAGCAGACACATTTCTCAAAATGATGGATACACAAAGCCTCTGAACAAAAGCTGCTCCTAAACATTTAGCAAGGACACAAAGTTACTAATTACAGGACTCTTCCCCAGAGCAAAGGTGCAGAAGTAAGTATGGATGTCCACAATTAGGATACTGGTTATGTAAGTCATGGAGTAACTATAGTCTGGTATTCCTTGCAGCCAGAAAAAATTACGAGGAAGCTCTTTAAGTAACCATACGAAAATATGTTTGAGAGAAGTTAAGTGAAAAAGAAGCAGAACAGTGTGTATGGAATGCTCCTTTTTGTGCCAGAAAAAGAAAAGGGAGAGAAAATGTGTCTGTGTCGCATATATCTGTATCTGCTATCTCTGGCAAACAAGCAAGGAACGGGAGACAGGTGGGTGAACCAGGCGCTGGGGAACAGAGTGTAGGAGCCTTGATTTTCACTGGGTCTTATTCTGTTTCTTCTGAATTCTGGACAATGTGCAACAGGTTGTCTAGTCAATGCTATCTACAATCAAGGGTTTATGTAAGGCCCAAACCCAGCAAAACGGATCTATGGTGTCAAATGCCAGGACAGTGGTTGCCCAGGGACCACAGGAAATGGCGATGGCGGGAGATCTTGGAATGTGGTGCATGTTTGACTTTTTTCTTTGAATACGGTTTTTTTTTTTAAGACCAAGTTTCACTCTTGTTGCCCAGGCTGGAATGCAATGGCGCGATCTCGGCTCACTTGCAACCTCTGCCTCCCAAGTTCAAGCGATTCTCCTGCCTCAGCCTCCCGAGTAGCTGGGATTACAGGCACCCACCACCACGCCCTGCTAATTTTGTATTTTTAGTAGAGATGGGTTTCTCCATGTTGGTAAGGCTGGTCTTTAACTCCTGATCTCAGGTGATCCACCCACCTCAGCCTCCCAAAGTGCTGGGATTACAGGGCTGAGCCACTACACCCGGCCCTGGATACTGTTTACACCAGCGTGCTCCCTTCATAAACATTTATTTGAGCTGTGTATTTGCAAACTGTATGACTTTCTGTATATGTGGTATTAGTCCATAAAAAGTTTGCAAAATGCAAAATACAAAGATGGCTTCATGGTCCCACCCGTGCAGCTGGACTGGAGACAAAGGCCAGAGAGGAGGTCGGGGCTGGGGTGCAGTGGGACAGGGGAGAGAGACAGGAAGGGACAGGTAGGGCTGCAGGGAAAGTCGAGGAGGAAGGCCCTCAGTTTCTGGTTGGGCGAGGGGCATGACCTGAAGACTAATAGGGAATCCTGGGAAGGGAAACTGGTTTTGGGGAGGTGAAAAATTGGGGTAAAGGGGGCGTGTGAGAGAGAGAGAGGTGTGGAGGAGAGGTCTGGGCTGGAGAGAGTTGGGCGTGTCCTGGGGGAGGAGGATTCCGCCTGGGTGGAGGGTACCCAAGGCCAAAGGAGGCATGGTTGGAGGTGGGCGTCAACAGGGGGCGGGGCGGGGCTGTTTACTTCCCCACGAGGTCTCGGAAACCCAGGCTTGGAGCCCGGACTTCCTGGTTCTGTGACCCTGGGAAAGCTTTTCTCTGTCTTAGCCTAAGTTTCCCTGTCGGAGAGATGGGGATTAAATCTACCCACCCCGCAGGGCTGTTACAGAGGCGGCGGGCGCGACTCGTGGGACGGTTTGAGTCTCTGGCCAGCCAATTATGGCGGGGCCAGGTGGAGTCCTCTTTCTGGTCCTGTGACCTTGGCCCGGGACGTCCGGGCAGAGTCTCAGTTTCCCCATCTGCTAGGTGAGAAGGTCGGTCTCCAAATAGCACCAGCAGCGAGAGGACTTACCCGGAAGGTGCCGGGTTCGGGCCTGGAACGGCCCCTCCGCAGGTGAGGCCGGGGGCACCCTCACCTCTCGGCGCTCGGACAGCTACTGCTGAAGCCTCTGCCGGACTTCCTGGGGCTAGTCACCGTTTCGTTAGGGCTGGACACGTGGCCCGCCCCCTGCAGCGTCCGCGTTCCGCCCACTTAGGGCCAAGCCGTCCAATCCACACTCATCATGCTCGCCGCCTCCTCCTCCCCCCCCCCCCCCCGGCCAATCCACAGGTGCCACTGCCTCTCCCCGCCCCCCGCCTCTCAACCAATCCGCATATGCCGCTGCTTTGCTCCCGCCCCGGGGGAGGGGCCGCGCCGGCAACGCTGTCAGTTCCGAGAAAATAATTAGCTCGCTACAGCGCGGCAGGGGCGGGGCAGCAGCACGTCCGGCCAATGGAGAGCCGTAGAGGGCGTGAGTGGCGGCCGACGGGGCGGAGTCGCGCGGTGGCCTCCAAGGGTTCAGATCCCGGCTGGAGAGAGGGCGTCTCGGCCGGCCCCATTGCACGGAGCATGTCGCAGAGGCCGGGAGAGAGAGAGGGGCCCTACATGGAGTAGAGGCAGGTCTGCGGTTCGAACCCTGGCCCTTCTGTCAAGAAACGGAGGCTTACGAAGATTCCCAAGCACTTTCCAGGAAGGGGCTGCTAAGGGAGCGATTAAGTGAGGAATTTGATGCCCCCCTCATCCTTTGTTCTCTGTGCTACCTCAGTTTCCCCATTTGTGCAGCACTAGCCCCCTCGAGTGGTGTTTAGAATAATTTAGACTCTGTCCTTGGAAATGGTGGTTGAGAGAAAGAGCTTCCCATCTGTCTTTAAATAAACCACAAATATGCGCCACGACACCCGACTAATTTTTTTTAAATTTTTTGTAAAGACGGAGGTCTCACTCTGTTGCCCAGGCTGGTCTTGAACTCCTGGGCTCTAGTGATCCGCCTGCCTTGGCCTCCCAAAATGCTGGGATTATAGGTGTGAGCCACCGCACCCAGCCTTGTGTTTTATTTTCTTTGCAGCACTAACTCCAATCTGAATTGGAAATGAATCTTGCTTTTTGAAAAATGCATGGATATACCCTTTTATTGTCACTTCCCCGCCAAAACACACACAGGCATACAGGAAAGGGAGCTCCCTGAGGCAGGGGTCCCACTTGCCTCGTTCACTGCTGAACCCTCAAGTCCTTGCTCTGGGCCTGGCCCATAGTAGGCGCGCGATACATTTTTGGGAATAAATGAGCAGAGAGCAGACATTAGGCAGAGGTGAGCCGGGTGGATGCCAAGATGGGGCTGGGAAGAAGGAAGGGAGAAGGCGGGGAGCAAGAACAGGGCCCCCAGAAGAGGCGGAGGTGGGGCCCCTAAGCCCAGGAGGAGAACCCTGAGGCAGTTGTCTGAGGTGGGGGTCTGGGCTTGGTTTATTTTCCCAGGGGCTGCCAGGAAGGGAGTAGACAGGTTGCGGGGGGGCGGGCCAGAGAGGGCTGGAGAGCTGCCATGCAGGGGCCTCTGGCCTGTCCTGGATTCTGGGCTGGGTTGTGATTGACCTCATGGGGAGCTGGTCCCCCAGCCCTCGGGGATCCCCTGAGGATCCCAGGCATGAGGCACCTCCCACCAGTCCACCCAACTCCAGTTGGGAGCCACCTGCTCTGCCTCTTCCCCCAGGGCATGCTGGGAAGGGGGCAGGAGGCCACAGAAACGTGGGAGCTGCCTCTGGCCTGGCTGGCCCAGGTCTTGATAGGCCAGACCCAGGGTTGGCAAGGGAGCATCAGGGCCAGGGGAGGGGTCCCATGGCATTGAGGCACACTCTGGGGTGAGCGAAATGTTGTCAAAGAGGTCGAGGGTAGAGGTGTCCAGGGCGGCGAGACTCAGGCTGGGGCTGGTGTGGGGAACCTCAGCGGGGGCCACAGCAGAGGCCACCCCCAGGAAGGGGGACGGAGGTGGTGGGAGCGGCTTTCGGAGCGAGGGTCTCTGGGGAGGTCCCTCCTGGGACAGGATGGATAGGGCCAAGCGCTGGGTGGCGGCCTCGATTTTGGAGAACTGCCTGCAGAGACAGGTGTGAGCAGGGTAGTCTCTAATGCCTGCACTCAAGCGACCCTCCCGCCGCGGCCTTCCCCAGTGCTGGAATTCCAGGCGTAAGCCACCGCGTCTGGCTAGCATCATGGTTGCAAGGGTCACCTATGTGGTCATTTCACACCATTCTAGCTATTTATTTTGGTGATTCCTGACTGCCTGCCACCCCCATGAAAACACAACCTCCACGAAGGTGAGGAACTTTAAATGCTTTGCTGGCACACAGTAGGCACTCAATAAATCCGCATTGACTGTTGCTGACATCCAGCCCTGGGGGCTGCTCCTCTCTGTTCTGTCAGTGCCTGGTCTCCCCCAACCAAGGGTGCTGGCTGCTCCTGCCCCTCTTCCCCCTCCCGTGCCCACCTCCCCCCACCCCCACTCCCACTCCCCGCGCCTGGCGGCCCCCTCACCTGCAGATCTGGTTGTGCAGAAACCTTCTGTGGTTGGGCCGCCTCTTGGGGGTCCGGGTGCGCCGGGGCTGTAGGGCCCGCAGCATGTGGGCAGCCGCCCCACTCACAAAGGCACACAGCTCCCGGGGGCCGGGCTCAGAGACCCCAGGGCCTTCGGGGACCCCGGGGTGCATGGCCCAGGTGGTCTGGAGTAACTCCCCACAATACTCCTGACCAAAGCACCCCCAAATCTGTGAGCAGGGAGGTCAGGGGACCCTGGAGGCAGGGCACCCCGGGCTGGGGAGGAGGCAGCGCTGGGAAATGGGCCAAGGCCTCCCCGTGGCGCCCTAACCCCGTCCCGACCTCCCGGGAGCCCAATCTGAAGTCTGAGGGACCGGCAGGTGGGGGCTGATATAGGAAGGCAGGGAGGGGAGGGGGCTTTCTGGGGACCCTCTAAGTGCCCAATTAGCGCATAGTTGGACCTGGGATATGGGACCGGCGTGCGTTGGCGGGAGGCAGAGAATCGTGCCTGCAGATGGCCAATTAAGGGGACAAAGGCCTCGCTCCGGAGACGAGGCAGCCAGTGAGTCAAATATAGCAATTGAGCATGGAGGACCCTTAATTGGAGCCGTGGGACGGAGGCTGGGAGGGAGGGAAGCTGGGCTGCACCTGCCTGCCCACCTCTAGACACACCTGTGCCTCCCTCCCTCCCTCCCTCTGCTCAGCCCAGTACCTTAGGAGGGGAAACCGAGGCTCCCAGAAAGGCTGGTGTGAGCCAAGGTCTCCAGCCAGCGGGAGGGGTTGGCTCCCAGGGAGTCGCCCCTGAAATCATGGGGCTCATAGAATGCTGAGCAGCAGAGTGAGGGGGGAGAGGGGAGGGGTGAGGCAGGATGGGAGAACAGGGCGCAGTCTCCCCCAAGGTGTTTTATTGAGGGACTGAGGTGTCTGTGGGAGGCAGAGGACAGGCTGGGTCCCCTTGTTTTTGGGAGGGTGTTGGCTGGAGCTCAGACTCGATCTCCGGTTGGATGGGGGAGCATGTTGGGGAGACAGCCTTAGTCTCTGCTCAGATCCCCACCCTTGGGGGTCTGCACTGGGAAGCCAGGATTTCCCAAAGCTGGTGTAACAGAGGCTTAGAACCTAGAACCACACGCGCTGATTCTCCTGCTGATCTGGGAGGCAGGCGTGAAAATGTGTCTATTTATTTAGAGATAGAGTCTTGCTCTGTTGCCCAGGCTGGAGTGCAGTGGAGGATCTTGGCTCACTGCAACCTCTGCTTCCACGTTCAAGCAGTTCTCCTGTCTTGGCCTCCCGAGTAGCTGGGATTACAGGCACCTGCCACCACTCCTAGCTAATTTGTATTAGAGACGGGGTTTCTCCATGTTGGTCAGGCTGGTCTGGAACTCTCAATCTCAGGTGATTGGCGCACCTCAGCTTCCCCAAATGCTGGGATTACAGGCTGGGCCACTGCACCCAGCCCAAAGCAGGGATTTGAACCTGACGTCATGAGTTTGCTTGCCAGGCCAGCAATACTACGGGCAAGGTCAGCAGCTGAGCCCCTACTGGGCCTAAGGTGGAGGCCAGCAGGCAGGTGGGGACATATTGGGGGCTGGGACTGAGTGCAGCCGTGAGGTTGCCAGAGGTCCAGTTACCTGTCAGCAGAGCATGGTGAGACCAGCTGCAATAGGACAGCCAGACACCCAGCGCCCTCACCAGCCACGGCACGTACACGTTGACTACTACCCCTCCCACGCCCAACTCGACCACTGTGCTGGATGGACCACTGCATGGGGGGCTGCTGGCCTGGTGTGGCAGGTTTCTGTGTCAGGGACATCATGGGCCTCCCCTGTTTCTCTTGAGTGTCTCTAAGGGTCTCCAGCCTCCTGCATGGCCTCTTGTACTCTGCCCCTTGGTCCCTCTGACTGCCACTGTCTGTGACTTGCACTGGCCCCACTGCTGTCTCTCCATCTCCCCTGCCCTTGCTCCTCCTGGCTTTCTGTCCATCCCTGGTTTGTCTACAGTTCTCTTAATGATCCTCTATCTATCACCTATCTATCTATCTATATATATCGTCTATGTATATGTGTGTATGTATGTATCTATTTTTAGAGACAGAGTCTGGCTCTGCCACCCAGGCTGGAGTATGTGGGTGTGGTCCTGGCTCACTGCTGCCTTGACCTCTTGGGCTCAAGGGATCCTTCCACCTCAGCCTCCTGAGAAGCTGGGACTGCAGGCACCTGCCACCATGCTTGGCTAATTTTTTTCTTTTGTAGAGACGAGGTCTCACTACGTTGCCCAAGCTGGTCTCAACTTCTGGGTTCAAGTGATTCTCCTGCTTTGACCTCCCAAAGTGCTGATCACAGGCGTGAGCCACAGCGCCCGGCCTCCTCTCTTCTGTATTGTCTCTCTGACTTCATCTCCCCCGTTTGTGTTCTGGCTCCTCTCACTGTCTCTCTTTCACCGTCTGTGGAGTTTCTCTCAGTGTTTATGTTTTAGGCTCTGAATGCCCTTCACAGCCTCTCAGCTTCTCTGTTTCTGTCTTCCCCAGGGCAGGTCATGTGTGTGTGTGTATGTGTGTGAGTGCATGTGCGTGTGCCTATGCATGCATGTGTGAGTGCATGTGTGTGAGTGCATGTGTGTGAGTGCATGTGTGTATGTGTGTGAGTGCATGTGTGTACATATGTATGCATGTGTATGAGTGCATGTGTGTGCATGTGTGTACGTGTGTGGTGCATGTGCGTGCCTATGTATGCATGTGAGTGCATGTGTGTGCATGTGTGTATGTGTGTGAGTGCATGTGTGTGCATATGTATGCATGTGTGTGAATGCATGTGTATGTGTGTGAGTGCATGTGTGTGCATATGTATGCATGTGTATGAGTGCATGTGTGTGTGTGTGTGAGATTGTTACTGGATGGTACTGTGCAGTTCCAGGCTCCCGGTGTCCCAAATGGGGAGAGCGGACTGACCTCTCCGAGATGAGATGAGCCCCAGTTTATTACATTTCATAGCCTTTTTGTTTTTAAAAAGGACTTTTTTTTTTTTTTTTTTTT